TTGGTGTGGCCATGTGCAGAGCTTGCCCTGGCATCCCCCTGCCTGAGGGGGTGATGTATCCTACCCCTGTTTAGGCTCTAGCAGTTCTGGGGATAAGACCCATAACTCAGGGTTAGACAACGAAGCCCCCACCCCTTGGCAGCTCCTGGCTGAAGCTCCAGGCCATCAGTCCCTGGGCACCAGTGCCCTGATTAGAGGGCGGCACGTGGTCTGTAGACCAGGAGCCTTGCCCGCCCCAGGGCACTTTGTGCTGTTGCTAGCAGCAGTGGGCCTCCGCTGGTTGCAGCGCGGGGAGCCCGGGCAGACGGCCATTGGCGTTGCAGTCAGGGCATGGGTTAGCCTATCTCTGCCAGCTGTTGCAGGCGTCTGCCCAGCAGGACGCCCCACACTGCTACCAGCGGCAGGGCTGGCTCAGGGTGGCATCAGCGGGAGAAGTTTGCACCATGTCCCTCGTGGGGCCCAAGGTGCAGAGCACAGTGCTGCCCCCCAGGCGCGCCCTGCATCTCTGGGCATTAGGGGCTGCCGCAGCCTGAGGAGCCACTGCACCCCGGCCCAGACACCTGGGCGACTGAGCGCCACCCCTCGGGAGCATCTCTGCGCCGTCGGCCAGGATGGGCCAGGCTCTTCGCGGCAGCACAGAGATGTCGCCTGGTGGGGCAGGGATTCCCTGCAGAGCTGGCCTGCGCGAGGGCAGGAGGGCATGGCTGGCCCCAGGCATTGTGCCAGCAGGCAGACGGGAGGCTGGAGTGAGGGCAGAAGGCAGAGAGAGAGGACTGGGGGGCAGGAGGCAGTGGGCCGCGGAGCTGGAGGGGAGGGCAATGGGGGAGGGGAAGGGAGTAAGGAGGGACGCAGAGCGACTAGCCCCCCAGGTGCTCTGGGCTGGGTGGGGCGTGTCTCCCGGGACTGGCTAGTGCCAGGCCTGCTGCCCGTGGCTGTGTGGCTCCTGGGGACAGCCAGCAGGCTGCGAGGGAATGGAGGGCCAAGGCGCTCCTCGCCCATGTGCCCCACAGAAGCCCCTAGCAGTGGCAGGTGTTTCCCACCTGGGTGCCCTGGCCTGAGTCCGTCTGGGCTGTGGGGCAGCCTGGCCAGGTGGCACTGGGGCTGTTCCGTGCTGAGGGCAGGTTGGGAAGGGGTTAACGGCCAGCCCGTACCTGCAGTTGCATTTTAAAGATGTGAAATTAAAGCCCATAATTTATTCTCCCCACACACGAAGGAGCAATTAGTTCTAAACACGGCTTAATCAGTCAGCGCGAGATTGATTTCTGTAGACTTGGATTTGGTGGCTGCTGGCAAGGAGCCAGGCTGGGAGCAATCTCCAGATAAATGAAGTGCGGAGAAGGAAGCCATTACATAATCTGATGGATGGGCCCGGAGCTCGCGGCTTCTCATTAGTATGCCACTCGAGGCTGGCAGCCTCACCAAACTTCTCCCAGGCACCTCAGCAACTTCCCTCCCCCCCCCCCTCCTCCGCCCCGGCCCCTTCCCCAGCTGGGCTGGCCTGGGGCTAACCACTTTCCCGCAGGGCCGGGACAGACACCCGGACCCAGGAGCCTGTTCAGTCACAGGCAGCCCTTCTGCAAACTCCGTGAGGTTCCCCTCTCTGGCTTCCAGCTGGCGCAGCATGCCCCCTGCCTAGGCCCGAGACCTGGTCTCTTCCACCCTCAGCTCTCTGCATTGTGCAGGGCACTGGGCCTGCTTCAGAGGAACCACCTTTATCCCCATTCACAGACAGGTAAACCGAGGCACGGCCAGGGCACATGACTTCCTCCAAGGTCACGCAGTGAGTTGGCAGCACAGCAGCATGTAGAACCCAGGAGTCCTGTCCTGGTCCCTCCCCTTCACCCCAGACCAATCTCCGAAAGGAAAAAAAACGAGGATTACTTGTGGCACCTTAGAGACTAACCAATTTAGTACTCCTCGGGTTTTCTGTGCTGATGCAGACTAGCACGGCTACCACTGAATCTCTGGCAGCGAGGGGGCAGAGGGGCTCATTAGGGAGCAAAGCGCAGCCCCCGGCTGTCTGGTGGGGCCTTGGGGAGCATTCATCATGCCACCTCCCAAGGGCCCGGCGTTCTGTAGCATCCCCACAAGTGACATGTACTGTTGGCAGCTGCAGGGTGCCCACTGGGATCCATGGGCCAACTCTGAGGAATAATCCATGGGTCACAGAATGACGGTCCCCAGCTCCCACGTGCATCATGCCTGGACTTCCCTGCTGTAGCATCGAAGCGTGGGGGGTGAGCGGAAGGGCATGGCCCTGCCTGTTGCTCCCCCTCAGAATGGAACCCCGCTTTCGATGGTGTCGGAAACGCATCCGCGGGCGAGGACAGTGCTGGTGTGGCATAGCTGGGAGAGCCTTTGTCTCCCGCCTGTCCACGTGGCTCCCGTGTTCTCTGCCCAGGGTTTGGCTGCACCCTGGGGGAGTCCAATCACACCAGCCCTGGGGGGCTGTGAACACAGAACCCAGGACGCTGCAGCGTCAGACGGGCTCCTGCTGCAAGCGGGCAGCACTGAGGTGGCTGCAGAAGCACCTGGCACCAGGATTCAAAGGTGCTGCTGAGGAAAAATCAGAGTCGGATACCACCACACCCATGCCTGTGTTTTGTTGCTGTCCTCAGGAGGCTGCAGGGGAAGGAGCCACTCAGGGGGAGCCAGGCCAGCAGCATCTCACCCTCAATAGCCAAACTGCATTTGTTGGCAGGAGAGATGGGCCCGAGACACGGGCCCCAGAACTCACATGCTCTGGGCTTCGGGCAGATCAGGACCACACCTCATATTGAAGGGGAGGATTTGGGGGCAGGAGGGGATCCCTGCTGGGGACGGGATCCCCGTAAGGGTTTGCAAGCAGCCCTCGTGCCAGGTGCGTGATGCTGGGGGACATGCGCCCTGCCCAGGGTCAGACCGCGATCCGCACGCAACATGCGAGTTCCTGGTGTGAGCGGAGCCCAGCCGGCTGGCTGCCGGCCAACGCTTCACACCAACTTGCTTTGAACAGCCACCATTCGTGCCGTGGAGCTGGTCCCCGGGGGACATGCTGTTGTGTCTGTTCTGATGCATTCAAGATGGCTGGGCTGACCTTTCCTGCATGTGGGGGTGGCTCCCGATTTGCTGATACAGATGATGGGCTGAGGGAATTGGAGGGAGCTGGTCCTGAGTCCCCTGGGCTGTAGCGTCCCCACTGCCCTGGCCTAGGGCTGGGCCAGCGGGGACCCACCCACCCTTAATGGGCCATGCATATGTAACCCACACACCTCCTGGGTGTGGTGCTCTGTCCCATCTAGTGGCACCAAGACCACTTAGAGAGCCAGCGATTGATGGGTCTGCTCTACAGCCTTAGCTTGTAGCCAGTTGGCTTTTAGCTCATGCAGTAGAGGCTGATGCGTTTAGCTCCAGAGGTCCCAGGTTCAATCCTGCCCGCCGACGCCTAGGGTCTGTCGGCATTACACATAGATTGAGCGCAGCTAGGCTCCTAGCTGCAAGGTCCATGAGCCTGCAGGTCTCTGCAGCCCGACTTGCCGCTGGGGGCTGAACTCCCCCCAGAGCCAAGGCCCATCCCACGCCTCAGCACCGGCTGCCCCCGGGCCAGGCCCATTGCTCAGACCTGCCCCCTCTGCCAGAAACACAGAGCCCCAGGGTACTCATCAAACCAGACCCTGCCCGCCACGGCGCACGCTTCTCTTGCAGGGAGAGAATGAGAGAACAATCCACATGTGACAGCGGTGTGGTCAGGGGGCGAACGCGCTGCGGGAGGCCGTCCGACGCGCCGGTGTCAGACCTGGCTAGAATAGTGCCGTGTGTGCTGGGAGCCAGTCTAGAGGCTCACCTTTGCCCCGGGCTGTGGGGCACGGCCAGGGGGAGCGAGGAAGGAGGCAGCTTGCAGGAGCTTTGGAAATGTTTTCTTTTTTCCCTCCTGGTGCGGGGGAGGCGCGGCGTTCGCCAGGCAATAGTAGCCAGGGCTGGTGAGAAGAGTTTGAAGCCAGCTCGAGCACGGGAACAGGGACTCTGTGCCCACCGGGGGGCTGGGAGGAAGGGTCTGTCTGCCAGGCCGGTGAGGGACTTGGCATGTGCCTGGTGCCAGTGAGGCAAGCGGGATGGGCTCGCTGGGTCTGAAGAGGACTATGGATGGGGCTGTGCTGGGAAGGGGGCCCCGAAGGAGGGCTCCAGGAGTCTGTGCTGGGGGAAGGGAGTTGAGGGTGGGACCAGGGAGCCCTTCGCACGAGGCCCTGGTCGCCAGAAGCTCAGGGCCTGGTTCTGATCCCAGTCACGATCTGACGTCAGTGTCCCTCCATCGGCTCCAGCGGAGCTGCTCCTGATTTACACCAGCGTGACTGCAAAGTTGGGCCGGAGGGCTGTTCCCGTCCAGGAGCCGTTGTGCAATATGGGTTGGGCATCTCAGTGCTGCTCCTGGGGGCAGCCCCCCCATGGCACCAAGAGGTCCCCTTGCTGCAGCCACAGCAGAGAGGCTAAGGACTGAAGGTGCCGTGGAGCGCCAACGCCCAGTGGTCCCTTGCCCGGCCAGGCTGAGGGTACTGGCAGGCTGGGGTGAACTCTTCCAGCCCTGCCCCTGTCGTAGGGGGTGTGGTAGAGGCTCCTTTCCCTGGCTGTCAGAGCCCTTGCTGAGTGCTAAATAAATCCCCGGCTGCCCAGGCTAGTGCATGTCAGCGCACATATGCGCCGCTCCAGCCGTGCACCAAAGGAAGACAGAGAGAAACCCCCCAGCTCTTCCCAGCCCTAGATCTTAAAGCACTTGTACCAAGGAGTCAGTATCATTATCCCCATTGTACCAATGGGGAAACCGAGGCACATAGTGGGGCAGTGACTTGCCCAAGGTCACCCGGCAGGCCAGTGGCAGAGCAGGGAATAGAGCCCGGCTCTCAGGGGTCCCAGTGCAGTGCTTTCTCCACACACACCATAGGGAAGCCCCCCTGCTAGCCGCTAGTCCCAGGGGCAGAGGCGCTGTGGACTCTCACTGACAGAGGCTCTTTGTTTTGTCTCTGCAGAACTCGATTCGGCACAACCTGTCCCTGCACACCCGCTTCATCCGCGTGCAGAACGAGGGCACCGGCAAGAGCTCCTGGTGGATGCTGAACCCCGAGGGCGGCAAGACCGGCAAGCCGCCCCGCCGGCGCTCTGTGTCCATGGACAACAACAGCAAGTTCCTGCGCATCAAAGGGAAAGCCAGCAAGAAGAAGCAGCTGCAGGCGACTCAGGAGCGTGGGGAGGAGAGCCCGTCCTCCCAGCAGGCCAAGTGGTCTGAGAGCCCCGCCTCCCACACCAGCGATGAGTATGATGCCTGGGCCGACTTCCGGACACGGGCCAACTCCTCGGCCAGCACGCTGGGCGGGCGCCTCTCCCCAATCCTGTCCAGCCACGAGCCGGACGAGCTGGAAGAGGACGACGGCACCCCATCCTCCCCGCTGATGTACCCCAGCCCCTCCAGCACCATGTCTCCCTCCCTAACCAGCAGGTGCTCCGTGGAGCTGCCCCGGCTGACCGACCTGACCGGCACCATCAGCCTGAACGAAGGGCTTGGTGAGAGCCTGCTGGACGATCTGCAGGACAGCTACAACATGAGCCCTTCCCAGCCGCTGCCCTCGGGCGGCCTCAGGCAGAGGAGCTCCAGCTTCACCTTCAACTCCAAGTGCTCGACGCTTGGGGCACCCACTAGCACGTACTGCGGGACCATCTACAGCCAGCCCGCCATGAACCTGCTGCGGCGTCTGCCCATGCAGACCATCCAGGAGAACAAGCAAGCTACCTTCTCGCCCGTCGGCTCCTACCGGAACGCCTCGCTGCAGGACCTGCTCTCCTCCATCTCCTACGTGCACAAGGAGAGCATGGCTCAGGGCGAGCCGCCCATGGCTCAGGCCGGCGTCCTGGCACCGTCCCGCAGCCACAGACAGAGTGCCCTCATGTGCGGAGGTGGGGAGCTGGGCTTGTCCTCTTACCCCGCCCACTCGGCCTCCCTCATGAAGAGCAACACTTTGTACCACCCGTCACCAGCCAGCCACCACCCTGCTGTCAGCAACAGTGCCTTACCCACTCCTATCAGCCTTATGAGCTTGCCTAGTGACTCCTGCAGCATGGCAGCCATGCCCCACCACGGGCATCTCCATCCCTACGTCAATACCCAGGGGGCACACATGAGCTTGCTGGATTCCCTCCAGGGCCCTTACCAAGGGGCGATCCACCCCCCTGTTTTGGGCCAGGACAGGTTCCCAGCAGACCTTGACCTGGACATGTTCAACGGCAGCTTGGAGTGCGACGTGGAGTCCATTATCCTCAATGACTTTATGGACAGCGACGAGATGGACTTCAACTTCGACTCGGCTCTGCCCCCGCAGAATGGCCTCAACATGGCCACGCTGCCCAGCGCCCCCCAGCCCCCCAACCAGAGCTGGGTGCCTGGCTGAGACAAAGCTGGATGCTTCCCACCAAGGAGTCACATGGGGAACAGTGAAACAGACTTTTTTTTCCTTTCTCTTCTGCCTTTATTTGTTCTGACGGGCTAGAGCCATCTGTTAAACCGGAGAGCCACCCTGACCACAAGCCGCAGGGTGACAGATCCGTACGGGCGCAGGACACGGCCCCGCCAGCCAGTCCAGACGTATCACCCGCATTGATGTGTGCGCCAGACTAGCTAGCTCAGGCTCTGCTGGGGAGCCCCAGGCCCACCCCAGTTCTCTCCCTAGCACGGTAAAACAAAAGAGAAAGCACATCAGGTGTGGACATAAAGGCAGTCTGGTTAATTGCACGCCCTGTCCCTCCTCCGCCCCTAGGGGGGTTCCCAGCCGAGGCAGTGCAGAGTCTGGACCCAAGGCATTCGCTTTCCAAATTGCCCCACCGGTGACTGGCCCCACCCTTTGTGCTCTTGTTTGGTTTAGTTCTCCCCAGGACGGACAGTGGGTGGCAGCCCTGGAGCAGAGGCAAAATGACTGCAAAGGCCCTTGTTTTCCAGGGCAGGCTCAGAAAATTCAGCTGCGGCGATCAGGAGCGGTGGCTGGCTGAGAGGAGGCTCCCCCCAGCAGTCAGAGTTAGCGTCAGCCTGCAGCCCCTTCCACCCACTCACCCTACAGCAGACCAGTGGATTTCCATGTACTGTTTAAGCCTGTTCTAGAACCTGATATAACCCCGGGGTAGCTGGGGAGCCAGGGAAAGCCTCTGAACTCTGGAGCTAGCAGCTGTGGTCGCTTGCTGGCAGCACCCACGCGCACGGGGCTCTCTCCAGAGTTTGATTCTGGATTCTGAGCCAATTTGATCTCAGCCAGCTTTGGGGATGGCCACGTTTTCAATCATCAGAGCCTGAAAAAATCCCAACCCACTGACAACTGGCAGCTGTCTGTATACAACATGCCTGGTGCCATGCACAGCTGGTGTGTGCATGGGTGGGGGCACAGGCGTGCATGCCCCTGCATGTGCAAATGCCGGCTTTGCAGGTGCGTGTTTTGCAGGCCCAGGAGCCTGTGTGAGGCTCGTGGCCGCCTATTGGGAGGGGCATGCTGCTAGCCTGGATCCCTGCTGGAGAGGTAGGCTGGCGGAGGTTAGAGGGTGGGGGGGGGAGTTATTTATTTGATTTCACGCACTCTCTTGCCATTGAATAATCACCTTGTTAGAAGAGCAAACGGGAGAGCCGTGCTGGGAGCTATGCCCTGCACTGGGGAGGCAGTCCGCAGGCAGCGCGTGCTCACGGGAGATGGCAGTTAATAATCAGGGATATGCAGAGGGTTGGGAGATGATTGCAAAACCTGGATCTAGCTTGTGATGCAGAACATCCCCAGAGTTTGAGGTGCTCAGCGCCGGGGCACTGGACCTCCCAGTGGGACTTGGGGTTCAAACACTTGTTTCCCTCTGCAGAGCTCACTGTGCCCCTGCATTTTCAGACCATTTAACCCACCACCAGCAAACCCTTCCCTCCCCTGCCCCATGGGTCGGTACGCAGGCTCTGGGCTGGTGCCCGGGGGCTGCCAGTCTGTCAGGCAAGGCAGAGGTGCTATTGCTCCCCGCACCAGGGAGCCACTGGGGCTAAATGTCAGGGTCTAGCAGCAGGGCCCTCCAGGAGTCAGCATGCTTTCTGAGCACTGCCCATCTGAGCTGGGCGGGTGGGGCCAGCAGCGCAGCGAGCACGAGCGGGCACAGTAGGTGCTCAGCATTAGGGGACGAGCCAATCGGAGGGAGGATCCTTCACATTAAGTGAGAAGGGTGCCGATCCCCTTGCCTCTGCGAGAGTGGCCAGAAGAGCCAGGAGTGGGCCCGGGGCTCAGCTGAAGGTTGGCAGCTGCAGCACAGGGTCTAGCTGGGCAGTGGGCTCTGCTGGCCCCCAGGCCAGGCAAGCATGTCCGTACAGCAGGGTTTTGTTCAACAACGACGGGCCTGAGGCAGACCCAGAGCCTGGCCTGAGCCTTGTAGACAGTCCCTGTCTCTCTAACAAGTCAAGCCCAAACACCATCTGAGCTCTGGGGCTGGAGCTTTTCCTTGGGGGTCCAGCTCCTCCTGAACTGGGGCCCGGCTCCTGGCTCTGAAATGAAGACCCACGTTGTTTCCATGGCGCTTTGCTCTAGGTTCGCTGGTCCTTTGGACTGTGGGCCTCGAGCGACCCGGGCGCAACCCCCTGGGTGGGAGCCAAGGTTTCTGTGAACTCTGACTGTAGGACACAGGTCTGGTGTTTCCCAGCCGGGGGGAGGGACATTTGCCTCCCAAACGATCTTCCAGGGGCCCCAAAGTATAGTCAGAGAGGCCGAATTACGTAGTGAGTGACCCAGCCCTGAGCAGTGAAAGTGACAGTGACAAACTACTGATGCCAGAGCCAAATTTTACTTTCTTAAATGCCAAGATTTCCTGGGTCTAACCAGGCCTGGGCTCCTGGAAGGCTGGTTGTGTTTTAAACAGCAACCTCCAGGGACCCCAGCATACACACCAGCCCCCCAAGAAAGGGACCCTAGAACTGGCCCTGGTATAATCTCATGTAGTCGGGAACTGGAGGCTCCCTGACTCCACGTGGCGGCCAGGCTTCAAGGGTCTCTGGCCAGGTGGTCTAGAAAGCACCTGGAGCCCCCCGCATTGGCCCATGGAGCCTGTGGCTTTGTCGTCTGGGTTCAGGCTTGTCTCCCATAGGAGCAGTCAGCATAGGCACATCTGAAGGGCAGAGGAGATCCCAACTGCTGATGGGTCCCCATCCTTACGCAAGGTGGATCCCCGAAGGGCGCTTCCCTCCCCGGTTGGGGCTGTCCCATGCCCCTGCCCTGTAGCCCCCCTCCTCTGTGAATGGCCCAGAAGCACCAAGCGCTGTCAGGCACAGAGAAAGGGGTGGGTTTATTAAAGACCCCATCTCTCCCCTCCAGCAATTCTCCCAGCCCCGGGCATCACAACCAATGCATCTTCCAAGGGCCAGGCAACATGTCCTGATGGAGGCCATAGGAGACGGAGCGGCTGCTCCTTGCCTGGGGCAGAGTGGCATCCTGTGGTGGGCATACACCAGGTCCTCTTGCCTCACCCGACCAGGGTCCGTTAGGTACCCGGCGTGTGTCTATGGTGGGGAATAACAAAGGAGCCCATTGATGTACCATTGATGTTTGCTCCAGGTACATAGAGGTCGTAGTCTATTTATAAAGACATTATTACCAATTAATTAATTATGTTTACATTGTTGGATCATGTACAGAATTTAATATATTCTATTCTAGATACTCTTTCTCAGAGGCTTTTTAAAAAATTATTATTATTTGGTCGATAGCATACATTCATTCATTCACTCTGTTTCGACACTCCCATTCTGTTTTCAGACGTATTTAATTCATTGCAGAAAGAAATTGTCAATGACAGGTGGCTATGAAATACCCAGCCCGCTTGCCCTGCCCTAGCCCGGGGGCGCTAAGGAGGGTTAGAGAGGAGGGGTGTGGCAGGGAGCCGTACTTACCGTGGGGCTGGGGGCTGCAGGGCTGGGACCACCTACTAGGTGCACGAGGGGCGTTCGGGGAGCAGTGCTGCCCTGTGTGAGAGAAAGGAGGGAGCTACCTCCTTCCAAACACCTGATCTTCCAGGCACATCCCCGGCAGCACAATAGAGGATGGTGGCGTTAGGCACTGAATGGCATGTGCCATCGGCATGTGGCATCAGACGGGCACCTCGCCCGCCCCTCCCAGCACCAGCCACACACTTGGGGCTTTGGATCCAGCATCACCCCCTCCGTGGCCGGGCCAGTGGCACAGGCTGGCATCGTCCTTGCCAGGCTTGGTTCTGCTGCAAAGTCTCTGCTCCTCTCGGGTGCTTTCGTTCCTGCTTTGGGAGAGGGGATGCAGAGGGGAGAGGCGGAGCCTGGTGCACAAGCTCTGCCCCTCTGTAGGAGACGCGCCACTATCTGGCAGGGAACCCCAGCCCAGGGAGGCCTGGCTCTGTCCTGGGGATGCAACAGGCTCACTGGGGTGCTTAGTGCTCAGCATCAGGCCCCGTCCCCACTCCTGCTCTCTGCCAGTCTCAGGGACTCTCCCTGGCCTCTGCAGGCCGGGCGCCTCGACCTGCCCCAGCCCCTGGAGCTCAGTGCTAGCTGGGCCTTAGAGTTTACATCCCTCCCCCAAAGGAGATGGGGAGAGGGACAGAGATGCCCAGGGAGCCCCTTGGCCTTGCCCAGCCCTGAGCATCCATTGGTACTTAGAGGAAGCAGCAGGAGGCCTCAGTCAGAGAAGACCCCCCCGGCATCCCCTGGGCCTGCTCCCCTCGCCCCGCCCCGCCCCGCCCCACCGTGTGTTTGACCTGGGAGGCCAGCCCCGGGCACGTTGTCTTGCGAAGCTGTCTGTGGTTCGTGACCGTGGGGGTGTCGTGTGTACGGTGGAGTTGTGTTGGTAAGCATTGTGTGTGGCGTCGTCGTGCAGTGCGAGGGGTGTGGTGGCGGGCAGGGAGCTGGGCAGGGCAACCCATCACCCTGCGTGCCCAGCGACACCCACGCCCTCGGGCAAGGGCACGTCAGCCTCCGGCCTCTGCGGGGGAGTTTAGGTGCAGGGCGGGAGGGGCCCGGGCAGGAGCTAAGGGACCAGTGACCTGTGCAGCACCCCCAGTGCCAGGGCGGGCAGAAGAGAGCAGGGCTGTGCATGGGGGCAGCGCTGCTCAGGGATTGGGATGGAGCGGGGGCCAAGGCACATGGGGATGGATTAGGTGTGCGGGGGGGGGGGGGGGGGGGGGTCAGTCATTCCCTTGCAGCTCCATTTCCATCCTGAACCCTGGGCCCCCGCTCTCCTGTATGCAAGAGTCAGATGATATGTGCACAGGTCTGGTCTGGGCCCTGGGCACGGCCTCCTGCTCCCCACCTGTCTAGAGACCAGGGCAGGAGAACTGCTCTCCTTGGTGGCATCGCTGCTGGTTCTGACCCTGGTCAGGGCTGCCAGCAACCCCCGCACTGCAGCTGGGGAGCATGGGGCCCCCGACGGCCCAGCACGCTGCAGAGCTGGCTCCGTGCCCTGCTGCGGTCTGTGCAGGCCCACGGCAAGGAGCCACGCATGAGGCTCTCTGGCCTGCGAGCACATGGCCGTGCTGTCTGCACTGTGCAGGCTGTTGTCATGTGGCTTGGCCATGAGTCCACGTTTAAATACAGCTTCGGGGTCGCGTCCAGGGAGTCCTAGAGACGGCTGGGCTGCCCTGCCCAGCCACGCTGGGCCTCCACATGAGTGCCAAGCCACCAGCTGCTCGGCTCCTAGCATGGCTGGGAGCACAGGGAAGGAGAAGGCCAGTTCTTTGATTTGAAGGAATCAGCGGGGTTATTTTAAATCTCCCTCATGACGTGAGTCCCCAAGCATAGCCCATACCCAGCCCCCCCGGGAGACTCCTCTTCTGAACTTTCCACCTGGTTCCCTAGTGCACTGTCCCCCTCTGCCCCACGCTCCCAGCCTGGCTCCCATTTCTGGCCTGGTGGGGCCTGACTTCAGTGACTCAGCGATGGGCACACAAGCAAGGAGCAATCCGAGAGCGGAGCTGGCTCCCCAGCGGGACAGGGCTCCGCAGAGGGACTGGCTCCAACAGTTTCCTTTATACAGATGTTTCAGTTCATTCTTTCCCACGTATTTATAACTGTACAGACCTGGGGGGAGGGTTTCGGACAGGCTGTCATCTCTCACCGCACATATATTGTAGGCAACGTAACCTTCTTGATTGTGCTATTAGAGTTTGTGTATGTGGCAATGTAAAGAACTGTGTATAGTGCATTGTACAGCATATTTTCATGAATAAAATTGTTTTAAATATTACAAGTATGGCCAGCTGACTTCCATGCTTGTGTGTTCATGCGTGTCTGTGTGTTTGCATGCACATGTGTGCATATCCCTGTGTGTGTGTGCGAGAGATGAGGGGTCAGTGAATGTGGTGTACCAGAGAGGGAGTTGGAAGGTTAAAGGCGGGGACAAGTAAAATAATCAATACTTGTGAGCCCTATTGTTTTGTTCCTGGCAAACATCCCAAGACGTTAGATAAAAACATTAACACTCTTGCTGGAAGGCTACAACATTTAGTTGGGGATTGGTCCTGCTTTGAGCAGGGAGTTGGACTAGATGACCTCCTGAGGTCCCTTCCAATCCTGATATTCTATGATTCTATGACCACACAACTTTATTTCTTAGAATTCAGAACGATAAAGCACCAGAACTCAAAACCAGAGAAAGAGAAAGCAGGCTGCTCCCTAAAACAGAGAGGCCCAATTCACCCCAGCTAGCTGGCTGGCTGCAGACTGACTCTGCTAGACCCAGATCCCCTGTTTCTCTCCAGCTTTCCCTTGCCTACAAGCAGACCCAGGAACCCCCTTAGAACGTAAAGGGATAGCTTACAATTTAACACATTTTACAACACACCTCAGCTACCAAGGAGCCTGTGCGACCCTTGGGCACTTGGAACTAAAGACCAAACTGAGAGTCAAAGGAAGGCCCAGGGCATTGGGGCAGGAAAATGGGGTCTCCAGCACCCCAGAGGCTGGGCTGGACCCATGAGTGTCAATCACAACACTGGGCAATAGATGAGAATCAGTAAATTGCAGCATTTGTGTAGTGGGGACCTGCTCCCCACGGTGAGACAGCTGCGTGTGCAGGCGGCGCTGTGGGCTGGGCAGCGGACATGAGTGGCAGGCCCAGTGGGCGCAGAGAAGTGATCACTGCACCACTGACCTGTGTCACCTCCGGCCCCTTTCCCACTATGCGGCCATAAATCCCTCCCCCTACCTGGGCCGGCTCTGAGCACCAGCGAGATTCTGCTACCATCTGTGAAAAGAAGGAAGCCAGCCATACCAATAGCCCCTTCTGCCGGGACAATGCCCCTCACGCCACCTCCCCATTGACAGACAGGTCCCCCTGCCATCCACTCCTGCCAGATCCCCATTGATAGACAGGTTCCCCTACCAATGCACCCCCACATAGCACCACCCCATTGACAGCCACGTCCCCCGTCAGCGCCCCCACACGTCACTCCCCATTCACAGCCATGTCCCCCTGTCAACGACCCTTCACGCCACCTCCCCATTGACAGCCACGTCCCCTCTGTCAACGCCCCCTCACGCCACCTCCCCGTTGACAGCCACGTCCCCCTACAACCTCCCCATTCACAGCCATGTCCCCCTGTCAACGCCCCCTCACGCCACCTCCCCATGGACAGCCACGTCCCCTCTGTCAACACCCCCACACGCCACTCCCCATTGACAGCCACGTCCCCCATCAACGCCCCCACACGCCACCTCCCCATTGACAGCCACGTCCCCTCTGTCAACGCCCCCTCACACCACCTCCCCATTGACAGCCACGTCCCCTCTGTCAACGCCCCCTCACGCCACCTCCCCATTGACAGCCACGTCCCCTCTGTCAACGCCCCCTCACGCCACCTCCCCATTGACAGCCACGTCCCCTCTGTCAACACCCCCACACGCCACTCCCCATTGACAGCCACGTCCCCTCTGTCAACGCCCCCACACACCACTCCCCATTGACAGCCACATCCCCTCTGTCAACACCCCCTCACACCACCTCCCCATTGACAGCCACGTCCCCCTGTCAGCGCCCCCACACACCACTCCCCATTGACAGCCACATCCCCTCTGTCAACGCCCCCTCACGCCACCTCCCCATTGACAGCCACGTCCCCCTGTCAACGCCCCCTCACGCCACCTCCCCATGGACAGCCACGTCCCCTCTGTCAACACCCCCACACGCCACTCCCCATTGATGGCCACGTCCCCTCAGTCAACGCCCCCCACACGCCACCTCCCCATTGACAGCCACGTCCCCTCTGTCAACGCCCCCTCACGCCACCTCCCCATTGACAGCCACGTCCCCTCTGTCAACGCCCCCACACGCCACCTCCCCATTGACAGCCACGTCCCCCGTCAACGCCCCCACACGCCACCTCCCCATGGACAGCCACGTCCCCCGTCAACGCCCCCACACGCCACTCCCCATTAACAGCCATGTCCCCCTGTCAACGTCCCCTCACACCACCTCCCTATTTATAGCCAACTGTCGCTTCCATGGCCCTCACTCACTCACGTGCAGCTGCAGCACCCCTACCCGTTAGTCCCTCTCCAAGCGCTTCATGGCTGGAAGCCTGAAGTGGTGCCTAGCCTTGGGGAGGCCCTGTGCCCTGCAGCCCTCGCCACCCTTTGGGGCTTCAAGCTGCAGTTCAGCACTTAGGCGACTACACTGAGCACTGCGGCAGGGACCCTCTGCCTGCCAGCTGAAGGCTCACTCATGGACTGAGCTCTCTGAATTCAGTGCCCAATTTGAAAGCTGGGCTCCCAGTTGTTTAAATCTCCCAAACCAGCCAGAAAGCAAAAGGCAGCGTGACTGCTCTGAGTGATCTGTGCCGCACGTCGGTTTCGTGGCCCCAAAGGAGCGCTGTGCTCAGTCGCTCGGCTCCCCTGCAGAATGCAGGCTGGAATGGCGCGGAGCGAGGGAAAGTCAGAGATGTTTCTGGTCCTGTAGGTCCATTCCTATAAAGACTCCACCATCCTAGTAATAAAAACAGCCTGTAAAACTAGAGTCTGTCTTAACCTTGCACAGAAGCTGGAACCATCTGCCAGCGAGTGAAACAGAAATATTGTTCCACACGATCTTGACATTTTTATTGACATAATTTTTTTATGGACTTTAGCTTTTACTGATGACCGAGATGATTGACGGCCTCTATCACAGCAGTCACCAGCCTCTCTAGGCCCACTGGGGTCTTCGCTGAGCTGAGCCGCCCTCTGCGAGAAACTCCTGAGTCTCTGCACCCGCTGCCCTTCCCGTGGCACATCTGGGCGTCTCAGCAGCAGGGGTTAAAGTTACCTATATGTTTCCATTTGAACAGCTTTCATGGAGACTCACAGCTTCCTGAAATGCTCCCCTTCTGGACTGATTTTCTTTTTCCAGTCTTGAGATGAATTTTTCAAAAGCTCATAGGTAAGCAAGGAACTCGGGGGCAGATTTACCAAGGGATGCAGAGAGGCACGAGTGGGAGTTTCAGAAATGCCTAAGTGAGTTAGGCAACTAACTCCCACTGACTCTCTGTGACTTTGGCCCCAGACAGCCAGATTTCAAAGGTATTTAAGCTCCGGGCAGGTTCAAAAGTGCCTGAGCCTAACTCCCATTGAAGTCAATAGAAACCCCTACTCAGTGCTTCCCTGCCTTTATAAGTCTGGCCCCAAGTCACTCTTGGAAATGGGAATTAGGCTCCCAGACACTTGGAAGGGTACTGTTATTTTCTTCTCTGAAAGAAAATTTGTGGGGAAAGATTGAAGGGGAACCCCCCCCCCCAAACACCAACAATTCCCAGGGATAAAATATTTTAACTCAGACCTGGATAACTCGCACCCCAGAGTCCTAAGGGAGTTGGCTGAGGAGAATCATAGAATCATAGAATATAAGGGTTGGAAGGGACCCCAGAAGGTCATCTAGTCCAACCCCCTGCTCGAAGCAGGACCAATTCCCAGTTAAATCATCCCAGCCAGGGCTTTGTCAAGCCTGACCTTAAAAACCTCTAAGGAAGGAGATTCTACCACCTCCCTAGGTAACGCATTCCAGTGTTTCACCACCCTCTTAGTGAAAAAGTTTTTCCTAATATCCAATCTAAACCTCCCCCACTGCAGCTTGAGACCATTACTCCTCGTTCTGTCATCTGCTACCATTGAGAACAGTCTAGAGCCATCCTCTTTGGAACCCCCTTTCAGGTAGTTGAAAGCAGCTATCAAATCCCCCTCATTCTTCTCTTCTGCAGGCTAAACAATCCCAGCTCCCTCAGCCTCTCCTCATAAGTCATGTGTTCCAGACCCCTAATCATTTTTGTTGCCCTTCGCTGGACTCTCTCCAATTTATCCACATCCTTCTTGAAGTGTGGGGCCCAAAACTGGACACAGTACTCCAGATGAGGCCTCACCAATGTCGAATAGAGGGGAACGATCACGTCCCTCGATCTGCTCGCTATGCCCCTACTTATACATTCCAAAATGCCATTGGCCTTCTTGGCAACAAGGGCACACTGCTGACTCATATCCAGCTTCTCGTCCACTGTCACCCCTAGGTCCTTTTCCGCAGAACTGCTGCCTAGCCATTCGGTCCCTAGTCTGTAGCTGTGCATTGGGTTCTTCCGTCCTAAGTGCAGGACCCTGCACTTATCCTTATTGAACCTCATCAGATTTCTTTTGGCCCAATCCTCCAATTTGTCTAGGTCCTTCTGTATCCTATCCCTCCCCTCCAGCGTATCTACCACTCCTCCCAGTTTAGTATCATCCACAAATTTGCTGAGAGTGCAATCCACACCATCCTCCAGATCATTTATGAAGATATTGAACAAAACCGGCCCCAGGACCGACCCTTGGGGCACTCCACTTGATACCGGCTGCCAACTAGACATGGAGCCATTGATAACTACCCGTTGAGCCCGACAATCTAGCCAGCTTTCTACCCACCTTATAGTGCATTCATCCAGCCCATACTTCCTTAACTTGCTGACAAGAATACTGTGGGAGACCGTGTCAAAAGCTTTGCTAAAGTCAAGAAACAATACATCCACTGCTTTCCCTTCATCCACAGAACCAGTAATCTCATCATAAAAGGCGATTAGATTAGTCAGGCATGACCTTCCCTTGGTGAATCCATGCTGGCTGTTCCTGATCACTTTCCTCTCATGCAAGTGCTTCAGGATTGATTCTTTGAGGACCTGCTCCATGATTTTTCCAGGGACTGAGGTGAGGCTGACTGGCCTGTAGTTCCCTGGATCCTCCTTCTTCCCTTTTTTAAAG